CCGTGATAGGATTGTGTTTGGGAACATCCAGCAAATCTACGAGTGGCACCGAGAGTGAGTGGTGGAGCCCTGAGAGTGAAGGGCCAGGGAGGGGCTCACATCTGGTCCTCTTTGTATCACACCCAGGGGCCCATTGTAGCCTAAGGATGAAGCTACAGCATGAGACTGAACATTAGGAGGGGCTTGATGGGAAGCAGCACTGCTAGTGCAGACGGCTTGAAATAGGGTGTGTGTGAGGGGACAGGTCCGAAATGTATTTGCCCTTCCTTTTCCCTGCCAATCCCTCCAGCTATTTCCTGCAGGAGCTCCAGAGGTGTTTGAAGGATCCTGATTGGCTGGCTCAGCTATTCATCAAACATGTGAGCCTTGAGAGGGTGGGACTTAGGAGGGACGGGGCTTCTAAGCTCTCTGGAGCTGTGCCTCCTCTCCTAGCCCACCCTCTTTTCTCGCACATTATCTTTGCTGTCTTAAGGAGCGTCGGTTGCATATGTATGTGGTGTACTGCCAGAATAAGCCCAAGTCAGAGCATGTGGTGTCAGAGTTTGGGGACAGCTACTTTGAGGTCAGTGGCTGAGGTGCCTTGGGGGCAGGGGGACAGATTTGGCATGAGCAGACATTTCCGGCTGCATAACCCCACTGTCCCTGTCCTCAGGAGCTTCGGCAGCAGCTGGGGCACCGCCTGCAGCTCAACGACCTCCTCATCAAGCCTGTGCAGAGGATCATGAAATACCAGCTGCTGCTCAAGGTCAAGACCACCTTCTCCATGGGTGGCACAGATGGCTGGACAGCCCTCTCCTCATTTATCTTCTCAGGGTTCCTAAGGCCCCCCGCAGTCACCTGGGGAATCTCCCCTCTGGGTCCTTAGGGGGAGGATGTAAGAGCTTCTGAGGACATCCTCATGACTTCCTGAGCTTTTCTTATCCCGGTCTTAGGATTTTCTCAAGTATTATGGCAGAGCTGGGATGGATACTGAAGAACTGGAGGTGAGGACCCCCAGGTTTTCCAGGACACAGCATGTACTTACTTTCTTAACCTTGTGGGTTCTCCCAGCCCTTTGGGTAGTTAAGAGCTGTGCTGGCTTTAAGACTAGTTGGTGTCAAGACATGGTTCTAAGAGGCAGTTGGCTGAGGAGGCCACCGTCCCTACAATGATGATGCTTCTGTCTTTGCCTGCAACCAGCAAGCTGTGGAGGTCATGTGCTTCGTGCCCAAGCGCTGCAATGACATGATGACTCTGGGGAGACTGCGGGGCTTTGAGGTACGGGGACAGGAAACTGGAGGCCATTCTGAGGTCCTATGGGGAATTGTCCTCTCCTGGAGCTGACCCCATGGTTGCTTGGGAGTGTTGGGGGAGGGAGGAAGGGAGGAGCAGAGAGTTTTACGTTTCCCTCATTCTTTCTTGAAGACAACTGTCCTTTGGTTCTAGGGCAAACTGACTGCTCAGGGAAAGCTCTTGGGCCAGGACACATTCTGGGTCACAGAGCCGGAGGCTGGGGGGCTGCTCTCTTCTCGGGGCCGAGAGAGGCGTGTTTTCCTCTTTGAGCAAATCGTCATCTTCAGTGAGGCCCTGGGAGGAGGAGTGAGAGGTGGCACACAGCCTGGATATGTGTACAAGAACAGCATCAAGGTGGGGAGGGGGCCAGGAGAGAGGGCTGGCTGGGAAGGGGGTGCAGCCTCAATGATGATGTCTGGCTCTTGGGTTTGTTGGAGGCAACAAGAACCAGAGAAGATTCTAGAGGCTGTCTCTTATTTGCTAATTCAGGTGAGCTGCCTAGGACTGGAGGGCAACCTCCAGGGTGACTCTTGCCGCTTTGCACTGACCTCCAGAGGGCCAGACGGTGGGATCCAGCGCTATGTCCTGCAGGCCACAGATCCTGCAGTCAGCCAGGCCTGGATCAAGCAAGTAGCTCAGATCTTGGAAAGCCAACGGGACTTTCTCAATGGTGAGGCTCATCCTCCCTCCCCTACAAACCCCTTCAACATTCTGACCTCCTGAATCCCTCACTACCCAGTCCCCAACCCCTGACCTCTGACCCTGGCACTTCTCCCAGTACACTATCCTCACTTTTCAACTATCTCCTAAAGCCCCAATCAATTTACATTGACTAGCAGTCCTTGGGAGTGTGGCCTGAACAGAGCCCTTAGAGAAGGGACCTGTCTGTGCTCTAATGCTCCTACTAATCCTTTCTTTGCCCTAGCACTGCAGTCGCCCATCGAGTATCAGAGACGGGAGAGCCAGACCAACAGCTTGGGGCGGCCAGGAGGGCCTGGGGTGGGGAGCCCTGGGAGAATTAGGCCTGGAGACCGAGCCCAGGTCAGCACACATGCCCCCATCAATGGCTCTCTCCCTTCCCTGCTGCTACTGCCAGAAGGAGAGGTGGCCAGAGCCCCCCTGCCCTTGGACACACAGGTAAGAGGAATGGCATTCCCTGGTTGTAAGGGTCCACTGGGGAGGGCCTCTCTTGTCCTGGGATCCCCAAGTTCCCTTCCCCCTATATCATTCGTTTCTTTCACCACCACCTTTTTACTTGCCCCTTCCTACTTGCCATCTCTTACCCTGTCCCTCCAGTTTAACCTGGGCAGAGGCTGGTGGTTTCAGATAACCTAAGCTAATTAGAAGAGAAGCTGGCTCGGCTGGGGGCTTATACTGAAAAGAAGGAATACGGGTATATTTCTGACCTTTTGTGACCCTCTGACTTGAATCTTTCTTCAGACCCCCAGTAACATCCTCCAGGCTCCTCATGACTCTCCTCCAGTCCCTCCAATTCTGAACACCCCTCCTTGCCAGGCCAGACTTGCCAAGCTGGATGAAGATGAGCTGTAACTGGTGAAGGCCATAAGGGTGGCGCTGACTCAACCACTCCATTCCCCAAGGAGTTTCGGGGCAATCCTTCTGGCACCATCCTGGATTTTCTTCCCTCTTGGTGTCTAGAGGGTGGGCAAAGTTGGGAGCAGTGTCAACTTGGAGGAAGGTACCTACACCCCAGAGGACTTCTTTCTGCCCAAGGAATAGGGGTTTCTTCAGCCCTCACCCTTATGCATGCATCACACATCCCCCCAAAAGGAGGATACGATATGTGGGTGGGTGGGAATCAGGGGCAGGATAGAAATGATTGATTTTGGTTTTGATCTTGTTTTTCCTGTTTTCTGAGAATAAAGGTTTTGTTATATCACTGAGGCTGCTGTCTTGGCACAGGGAAGGGGAGGCTGTAATGGGGGGGTCCGTTGAGTAGAGAGGCATGGAAGAGATCAGTTGGCCCCTGTCATGGGAGGAGAGGTCTGGAGTAGGACACAGGGTGTAAGATAAAAGATAGTTGCAATCTTTGTCCCTCATCTGCAGCTTCAGCATCTCTCAGTCCAGTCCTAGGGCCAGTGGAAAACCCTAGATCCTTGACATATCTTCCCCTTTATCTAGGCTGTCTTTTCTTCCCATCCAGCCTCTGTTCTATATCCCACCAGAGAGCCCAGGGTAGTGTGATGTCCCATCATCCCCCAATACCCAGATACTAAAGCACAAAATGCCCAATGTACCTTTCCTTCTGAGGTCGCCATGTTCAGCTGAGGAAGATGGAAAGGTGGAGAGGATCCTGAGAGCTGTGGCCCCTTCCTGGCTCTGGGGCTGCCACCAAAGGGTGTCCTTGTCTTTACTGTCTGGGAGGCCATAAAGTATGGCCATACAGAGCAAGAGATTCTTCTTTAAGCTACAGATCAAAGAATGGAGAGCCCAAAGGGGTCTTCTCCTATCCCAACTTCTAGGACTGAGAGAGCCAAACATTCAGAGATCCATGTCCTGGGTCCTTGGGCATCCGTGTGTCTGCTGTGTCCATCTGTCCCACAGGCTTGGTCACGTGTACTCAGGCTTCCTCAGAAGACAATGGACTCCTGGGGTGGGAGGCGGAGGGGGAGCTGGAGCCTCTGGGTGGGCCCAAGGCCCCTCTTAGCTGACAATGGGGGGGAGGGATCTCCAGAGGGGGGACAGGACGTAGGGCCCCCGATAAGACTTCTGGGGAACAATAGGAGGAATTGAAGAGAAGCAACCGCCCTCACCGCACCCCACCCCCAGGGCTTTGGGGTCAGAGACTGGGGAGTCAGAGGGTGTTGGGGAGGGATGCTGAGGAGTCTTGTGAGTGGGGGAGGGGTGGGGTGGGGCAAATAGCTGGAGTCTGGGGCTCAGAACCTTTGTATTTCTTTAGGGACCCCAGGGGTAGACGAGGTGGGTGGGTGACTCCTATGGACTTAATTTAATCTCAAATTTGTTTTTGAGTGCTTACTTTGTGAATAGCACTTGAATATAATAATGCTCCCTTTTTTTTTTTTTTTTTTTGACTGCTAGGAAATAAAATCTAAATTTCCTATCAGTTCAGCATTTCCCCCTAAGGCCCTGAGCTGGCCAGCGGAGATGTGTGGGGGGTGGGGGTGGGGGGTGGGGGGTTCTGTCACTGTCCCTGCCCAAAACATGCTTCCTGTCTTAGATTTGTGAAACTGCTGAGTCCAGTACACTGAGTCCTTTACACTTTCTTGGGGCGAGGAGCTGTGCCCCATGAGGATTTGAGCCTGGGGTGAGGTAGCGGACCATCTGAAGTTTCTTGGCTGGTCTCTAGCAAGTAAAGCAGCGTCTCTGGGCAGGACCGAAGACCCCGAGGAGCCAGCTGTTGGCTCTGCCTAAAGTGCAGCCTCGGAAAGGGATGGACAGTGAAGATGATGCGGGGAGTCAGCAGCGGGTGTTGGGAGTTGAGAGCGTGGGGAGCGCTTATCTTTCGGCCTTTCTCTGGTTCCTTCTCTCTTCTAGTGCCACCCCCATATTAGCCCCAGAGATTTGGCCAAGACCAAGAGTGTCGGAGGAAACTTCCCAGGTAGTAACTCGCCTGGAGAGGTCCAAGAAGGCTCCCAAGGCAGTGCCCCCTATAGGACTGGACTGGACTTTTGCTTTGTGGAGGCGGGGCTCATGGCAAGCGGGCGGAGGGTATTTAAGCCCAGGAGGAGCCGGGGTGGCAGGGCAGAATGAGTGGGCTCTTGGGCGCCAGGGACTGCCCAGGCCTGGGAGAGGGCTCCGGGCTTAGGTCACCCCTAGCCATCGGATTCAGGAAACCTCTCACCGAGGCCCAGTTCCGACAGCTCTTCGGGAACGCAGAGGAGGAACCGGAGCTCCCGGAGGAGCCCCGCTGGTCGGGTCTGCACAGGTTGTGGAGGCGGCAAGCTAGCGCCTGTTCCGGGTCGGGAGCGTGGCGCCTGCTCCAGGCACGGCTGCCCCCTCTGCGCTGGCTGCCCGGCTACCGCTGGAAGGCCTGGCTACTCGGGGATGCTGTGGCCGGAGTGACCGTGGGCATTGTGCACGTGCCCCAGGGTGAGCGGCCCAAACACGAGCCTGCCAGGGGTCCCGAACTCTAGAGAGCTTTGGGGAGGCGGCGCAGGGAGCGGGGAATCGCGCAGCAAATATTTGGTTAATGTCGCTGAGGGTTCGGGGAGTGAGACCTGGAACCAAGTCTGGGCTAAGTTCTGTGGAGCTCGTCACCTCTGCCCGGTCAGGTCTCCAACCCCACCTCTGCGCAACCCCCTCCTCCGCGCAATCCTGCAAGAAGTCTGGGACACGTTCCGGCTCAGGGAACTGGAAAGGCTCGAAGCTTGCCCCCCCCCCCCCCCCCCCCGGGAGTGGGCAGACACGGTTCTGTGCCCTTCTCCGCCCCATGACCTCCTGCCGAGGTCCATTAACTCCTTGGTTCCCTCAAGTGACAGGATGGAGCGTCTCTCAGCCTCTAAGTGTGGGCGGTGGGACAAGGTCCTAGACGCTGAGCATCAGGCCCTCCACACCTAGGATTTTTTCTTTCCCTTCTCCCCACAGGCATGGCTTTTGCCCTCCTATCCTCTGTGCCTCCTGTGTTCGGACTCTACACTTCTTTCTTCCCCGTCCTCATCTACACCTTGTTGGGTACTGGGAGACACCTGTCCACGGGTGAGTGACTCAGTGACCTCCAGAGACTGCTCGCCCTCACCGTGGAGTGAGAACGGACAAGGGTTTGAGACTTGCCTTATCGTAAGCTCCCTGCCTCCTATGTTCCTCTTTACCTCTCCCATGTCTCTACCGCCCCTGTCGCGACCCTCTGACCTCAGCAGTACTCTGCTGGGGATGCTGAGTGGCTGCAGAGACGCAGGGGTTTACTCGGACTTTTTCTCTCTGAGGCGTTTGGTTAAAACCAACAGCTCTGGGACTTGGAATGGGGAGAAGAGGTGAGTGGTCATCCAAAGGAGCACTCAGTTGGTGACGAGTCTTCAGGAGGGGGATCGACGCATTAGAGCAGTTTTTCACGGCTGGTGCACCCACCTGTCTCCTCTCACCGCCGGTTGCCTGCTGTGGCACCATCTCACGGTTCCACGTCTTCTTCACCCGGGCAGCAGCCTCCTGGGCGAGCAGGGTCTGACAGCAGCACACGCGCCCTAGAGCGCGGAGCCTGCACTGTGGTTGTGCCCAGGGCAGCACAGCGGATGAGCTCTACGTTTGCCCCACCCCACCCCCTCCCCGCCCTAGGAACTTTTGCTGTACTCAGCCTCATGACTGGATCGGCCATCGAGCGGCTGGTGCCCGAACCCCCGGGGGGCAACCTGAGTGGAATCGAGAGGGAGCAGTTGGATGCTCAGCGGGTTGGGGCGGCTGCGGCCTTGGCCTTCGGGAGTGGGGCACTGATGGTGAGGGAGGGCCCGGAAAGAGCCCTGGGGGATTCGCGCTGGGGGCTTAGGGTACTGGGCTGGGAGAGAGGGTTAAGTCCCTGGCGCGGGACCAGGCGGGCGAGGTGCGCAGAGAAGATAGCGCACTGCGCTCGGCTGGTCTGCGTCTCAGCCTGTTGGAGATGGTGCATCTTTTCGCCTGCAGCTGGCGATGTTCGCGCTGCAGCTCGGTGTCCTGTCCACCTTCTTGTCCGAGCCTGTGGTCAAGGCGCTGACCAGCGGGGCCGCGCTGCACGTGCTCGTGTCCCAGCTGCCGAGCCTTTTGGGGTTGCCCCTCCCTCGCCAGATCGGCTGCTTCACACTCTTCAAGGTGAGAGTGGAAGGACAGCGGGGAGGAGGTTTGTAGCGGTCCCGGGAGAAGTGAAATCCCGATGGGAAGGCGAGGCGGCGGGTGGAGGGGCTGTGAGTTACGGGGGCGACTGCGGAGGAAGAGGGTTAGAACCACATGGCCTGAATGAGGATCGCCTGAGGAGGTGGATCTGATGAAAGCAGGGAGATAGAGCCTTGCCTCCGTCTGGTGTCGGCGCTGAGGACCGATGGACACTTACCCGGACTCCTTTCTCATCGCCCCTGCCCACAGACGCTGGCCGTCGTGCTGACGGCGCTGCCCCGGAGCAGTCTGGCGGAACTGACCATCTCGGCACTCAGTCTGGCCCTACTAGTGCCAGTAAAGGAACTGAACGTGAGATTCCGAGACAGGCTGCCCACTCCGATCCCAGGGGAAGTAGTCATGGTGAGGATGGTGCCCGCGTCTCAGCCCCCTGCCAGGCACAGACCCTGACCAAGCTCTAGCGAAAGGCCCAAAATGACTTCGCGGGGCCGCTTCCGCCCCCTTGTGGAACGCGGAGGGGCCACAGTCGAGAGGTCAGCTCACACAAGTACATTTCCAGGACTCCTCCAGTGATCATCTGAGACCTCCCATCAATACTTCCTTCCCTCTTTCAAGGAACCCCCTTACAGACCTCTTAATATGCTCCCTCTTCCTCCCCACAGGGCTCCCTTGCAGTCTGGCTGGCCACAGCACCTCCACTCACATCTCCCACAGGGCCCTTCACTGAATTTCCTGGACTAAGTAATTGTTTCAGTCTTCACAGATACCCTGTATCTCCCTAGATATAGTTCACCTGCCTACTTACAGCAGCCCCAAGTCAGCCCACTCTTAGTTTCTCCCATCCCTGTGTCTCCATAGCTCCAGGTGTCTGTCCATCACCTCTCTTCCTAGCCCTACATTCCTTCACTCTAAATCTGTTGTCAGGTACTTATCATAAACATACCACAGCTTCCTCAGTTGCTGGGCTCCTGTGACCACCTGCCCCTATATTATGGTCCTCTCTCATGCTGAGCCCCTTCTAGCCTCTTCCAGGGGACCCACCTCTGATGCCCTAAATTTTCCCCTTTCCCCAGGTCCTCCTGGCTTCAGTGCTCTGCTTCACCTCTTCCTTGGACATAAGATACAATGTCCAGATAGTGGGGGTGCTGCCTAGAGGGTAAGAGAATGAAAAAATGCCAACTTTATTTTCCTGTGCCTTTCCTGGTAACCCAAGACTTTTCCCACCCAACACCTCCTCTAGTCCTGCCCTGCTCTATTTTCTCTGCCTTCCCTACTTCCTGCAACATCCAAGCCAGCCTCACCACGGATCCTTCCCTTTTCAGATTCCCTCAACCCCTATTTCCCAACCTGACTGAGCTGCCCGGGATCCTGGCTGACTCACTGCCCATTGCACTGGTGACCTTTGCTGTGTCCACCTCCCTGGCCTCCATCTATGCAGACAAGTATAGCTACACTATTGACTCCAACCAGGTGTGACTGAGGGTGGACCCCATCCTCATTCAGGAGACCACCCCTAATCTGACCTCCCACCCCGCCTTTGTCTCTCTCTCCTTCATCCCACTGCATCCCTCCAGGAGCTCTTGGCACATGGTGTCTCCAACCTCATCTCCTCCCTCTTCTCCTGCTTTCCCAACTCAGCCACCTTGGCCACAACCAGCATACTGGTGGATGCTGGTGGGAATACACAGGTAAGAGGGCATTTCTGAATGAGGAGAAAGGGTGCGGGCATCCAGGTCAGGGGGAGAAACAGGTGGGAGATTGGTAGATACCCAGGGAGCATCTAGAAAGAGGATGGGAATCTGTGAGGGAGGTGCATGAGTGGATAGGATTATCTAGGCAGACAGTATAAAAGATAACAGTAAGGCCAATTAAGACTCCACCAGTCACTCCTAGGGAGAAAAGACCTACGGCAATCTGCTCCCATAAAGATTACAGCCTAGAAAACTTTATGGGGCAGTTCTACTCTGTCTTATAGGGTCGTAATGCTTCAGAATCAACCTGATGGCACACAGCAGCCTCCTAAGCAGCAGTCCCTGAGTGGTGCATAGTTAAGTGCTCAACTGTTATTTTTGTTAGGTGCTGTCAAGTCAATTTCAACACAACTCATAGCAACCCTAAGTGGGAGAGTAGAACTGCTACATAAGGTTTTCCAGGCTGTAAAACTTTATAGGAGCAGGTCACCAGGTCTTTCTCTTACAGAGTCACTGGGTGTGTCTGAACTACCAACCTTCTGGTTAGAAGCTCAGTGCTTAACTGCTGCGCCATAAGGGCTCCTAAGCCCTGAACTACTAGCTAAAAAGTTGGAGGTTCAAACCTACCTAGAGACACCTTGGAAGAGAGGCCTTGGCAATCTGCTCCAGGAGGCTCTTAGTCTTAAAAATCTAGGGAACATTCTACTCTTCACTCAGGGGATCACCATGAGTCAGATGCAACTAACAAGAATGACAACAACAACAGGCTGTAAGCACTGAGAGAGATTATGGTGACCCAGCTACAGTTTAAGATAAAAACAATACTAAACTATAAAATAAATTTAAGAGACAAAATTCTCATTTTTTCCCATGAGGATTATTTTGATGAGTTTTTAAAAAGAAACATATCAAAATTGAATACTTTTCTTTCTTGATGTCCTAAACATGTGTTTGACCTTCCTCTAGGGTAATCCAGAGATGGTTTTTAAGATGGAAGTGGGCTACGAAAAGAGAGAAGCTGAACTACATATAGGGGGAGAAGGGCAAATGACAGGCATTTAGTTGGAGCAAGGGAAAAGATAGGTATGAATGGCAGAAGATCCAGAAGGAGGTGAGGAATATCAGAGTATCAGTTTGGGAGGGAGATTTCCAAGGGAGGCCAGGTAGTCTAGGAGGCCAGCTCTCACGCTGGGGTGGGGCGAGCTCCCTTCTTTCTTTGCTTCCAACCCTCCTTCCCTCTAGCTGGCGGGCCTTTTCTCCTGTGTGATTGTCCTGTTAGTGCTGCTGTGGCTGGGACCCTTCTTCTACTACCTGCCCAAGGTAAGGGGCAGAGGAAGCATGAAGGTGGCTGGGAGGAATGGCTACAGACCGGGGCCTTGGGATGGTCAGCCTGCCTCCTCTGCCCCAAGGCTGTCCTGGCATGCATCAACATTTCCAGCATGCGCCAGATGTTCTTCCAGATGCAGGAGCTTCCACAACTATGGCGCATCAGCCGCATAGACTTTGTGAGAAATGGCAGCCATACCCTGCAATGCCCCCCCCCCTCCATCTTCCCAGCACCCCAGCCTCTGCCCTGGATCAAAGCTAATTATCCTGGTCCTAAATTCTGCAGGCCCCTCACTCTCACCTCACTCTTCTGCCACTGCAACACATAGACCTCCTAGGACCCTTTACTCAGAGACAAATTGAAGGGTGAGGTTTGAACCCTCTCAGACCTAAGTATTTGTAACTCCCCAGCTGGCACAAGGTCTGAGGTCGTTACATTTTGTGTGTATCTCCTGTTCAGGGTTGATCCTGTCTCTTCCTTCTGTCACTCTTTCTACCTTCTCCATTACTTGCCCTGGTGGTCACTTCCCGCTGACCCCTTTCCCTAGCAGTATGACCCTGGCCCCTTCCTTCCGGGCAGTCTCCTACTCCATGTTCCACAGGCAGTGTGGATGGTCACGTGGGTGGCTGTAGTGACCCTGAGCGTGGACGTGGGCCTGGCTGTGGGTGTGGTCTTCTCCATGATGACTGTGGTCTGCCGCACCCAGAGGTGGGAATTGAGAGGAGGGGAGGGGAGAGGTGATGCTTTGGATGACTCCCCAGCTGGGCTAGGCTGCGAATCTGACCCTGGCTCCCTGTCCAGGGTGCAGTGCCTGGCCCTTGGACTGGCTGAAGGAACGGAGCTCTACAGGCCACTCAGAGAGAGCCACAAGGTTAGGTGGGCTACAGCCAAGGAAGGAAGGGAAGATTCGACCCGCATGTCTCTCTGACCCTCTGATCCCTTAGTTCCTCCAGGTCCCGGGGCTCTGCATCCTGAGCTATCCAACACCACTCTACTTCGGGACCCGTGGACAGTTCCGCCGTTTCCTAGAGTGGCATCTGGGACTTGGAGAGAGGGGCAAAGTAAGGGACTCAGTCAAGAAGAGTGGCTCCTCTGGGAGTGGGAGGCAGGTGGGGGTTCTGAGCTGTATCCTTATGCTAAAGGAGTGCGCATTCATGTTGGTTTCTTCCCTAATGCCAACTGACTGCCCCTCTCTACTCACGGGAGACTCCAAAGCCAGATGGGCCACCTGACGCAGGTGAGATGGGATGACAAGGAGGGAGATTTGAGCATGATCCGTGGAAGCATCTGGGTAGTTCTGCTTTCTCCCCACCCTAGTTGCTGAGCCTGTCAGAGTGGTGGTACTTGACTGCAGTGGGGTCACCTTTGCAGACACTGCTGGGGCCAGAGAAGTGGTACAGGTGAGGGAGAGAGTAGGTTGAAGAGAAAGTCCACTTGTCATCCCACTCAGACCCCTGACTTCAGACTTAACGTTCCCCCAACACATCCCCCATCCCCCACAGCTGGCCAGCCGCTGTCGAGATGCTGGGATCCACCTTCTACTGGCTCAGTGTAATGGTGAGAGGTGTGGGAGGGTGAAGGGACTCATTGTCTTGGGAGTGAGTGGACACTTGGGGGAGATAAGAGGACATGGTATGAACTTGGGGACTGAGAGCCTGATCCCCTTCCCACATAGCCTCGGTGTTGGGGACACTGACCTGGGCAGGACTTCTGGACGTAGTGACCCCAGAAGAGCTGTTTGTGAGTGTCCAGGATGCAGCTGCTCATGCCCTGGAGAGACTGGTGAGGGGCCATGGCAGCAGGAGTGGGAGCTAGGAGGGGCTGGGCAGGTGAAGTGTGAGCCATGGGTGAAGACCCAGGCAGAGGGCTTTGGGAAGGGCACTAAGGAGGGAGAGATCAAGGAGGAAGCGGTGGGAATGAAATGATTAGACACTTTTAAGACCAAACTGGGGAGACTGGGCCTAGCTAGGGGTGAAAAACTGAGGAACTAAGATCCCAAAGGGGATGCTGGTGCCCCTCAGAGGACTGCCAGATCTCAGGCAGGGATGGGGGTTTGCCTAATCTATCCTAATCTACTCCTGACACATTCCTTCTTTTCTCCAGGAACTCATTGGTCCAAAAACTTGCACAGTGTGGGTCTGATTGGGTCACATGGAGAGTGGACAACATCACTGTGGGGGGAGGACCATGGCCCTGAACTCCCTTAATTAATGTCGCTAATAAAATGAAGATGGGAGACTTTAGGACACATGAAGTGAGTCTGGGTGTCTGCACATGGACCCTTGGTGCCCTTCCTCCATGCCCACAATATTGTAAAGACAGATTGAGAATGGCTTTGACCATGTGTTCACCAGCCCTCACCTCAAACCCAGAGTCATAAGTTCTCTCCATGGGAGGGGGCTGGAGCTGGTACACAGAGTCCTGGATCCAGAGATAGCAGTGGGGGCACAGTCCTGGGATTACATTTCAGGGTGGCTTCCTTACCCCCCAGTTCCAAGGAGATGAGAAGAGAGTGTTTCTACTCTAGAGTTCTTAGAGTCCCCCTGGGCTCTTTGGCACTTGGAAAGCAACCCCCCATTTCCTGCCCCATTAGAAAAGGGTGCAGGGGAGGACTTGGCACTGGCTGTGGGAGAGGGTACGGCTCCATCATGCCCCTGGGCACTCGAGGAAAGGAGGGGTGTCACCAGGACAAGCCCCTATGTGGGATCAGGTTCTGAAGATGAGGGGTGAGGGGCTGGAGGTCACAGACAGTCAAATGGTCACTGGGTGGTGGGGTTTGCTGGAAATTCCTGGCAGGGACAAGGAGGCAGGTCCAGCCTGATAGACGGAAGGCCCTGGGTGGCCATCACTCTGCGGTCATGCACTGTAGCCGGTGTTTGAAGAAGAGCAGGCGGTGTTTGGCCACCTGACTTTCATCCAGTGATCCCGGGTAACGGTACCGGGCGTAAGTCTCTGCCCTGGCATCCCTTGACACCCAAGGAAGCTTCAACTTGGATGCATGATCCACAACCACATCTGAGCAGGAGCCCACTCGAAGGGAACCAAGCCCGTCCAGGAAGAACTCTGGAGGTGGGGGAGGGGGCACAGAGAGAAAGGTCCTGAGGATGCAGAAGGCCAACCTTTACTGGGGAACTGAGAGTTGGGGTACAAAAGATGGATATGCAAAGATACCCTTTCTAAGGACCTTGGACAAGTGAGTTAATCTTTCTGGATCTCAGTTTTTACTCTTCTTAAAATGGTGTCCATATATTTTTGCCTTTCTCTTTGAAAACAAAATCCCACCCCCACTGCCTAGAGGTTCAATAAATACTGATGGGTTGCTCTAAGTGTGGTCTGTACCAGGGGACTCAGCTTGGAATTAGGTGTGACATAGTTAGGTGGACCTAGCAGCTGGACTCGGTGTGGAGCTTTACATGGCCTGCGGGCCTAGAGGAAGTGGGAGCTTTGTCTCCCACAGAGAGTTCTCAGAGCCCCAGGGCAGCCTTTGTAAATCTTCACAGCACTGCTCTAAGGGGCTCCGGGTGGCGGCCTTGGGCTCTGAGGGAGAGGCCGAGGAGGAGGGACCTCCGCCCAGCGCCCCGCGGGGTCCCCTCCAGGACCGACCAGGATGACGCGCCACTTACCCAGATGGGCTACGCGGCTGAGGCGCGGGTCGAAGCCGACCTCCCGCACCTTGTCGGTTCGCGCTAAGAAGAAGTTGACGACGCCGTCGGTGACCACACAGCCCGGGAAGCCGACGAGTTCATGGTGGAAGCCGCGCCTCTGCCGGAGGCAGTTCCCGCCGCCCGGAGCGCCGGGCTCCACGCTCAGCAGCTGCCGGTAGGTGGTGGCGAAGCCCGAGATCTCGCGCACAGCGCCCCCCACCTGCGAGGAGAGGGAAGGTGGCTCTAGACTCGGCAGCATCCGGGAGGTGTGTGCCCTTCTTTCCCTGGGGCACTCCGGCTTCACTTCTGCAGGCTCCAGGGCGTCAGCCAGGCGGCGTTTCCTCGGCCTCCCTCGGTCGCAGGGCCTCGCGGCCGGGGGCCCACTGGATCCTCCGCAGCCGTGCTCCCTCCCTCTTTCTACCTCCCACCCCCGCAGCCCGCGCCCCTTCCCACCAGGTCCAGTGGCGTCCTCTCCAGCACGTCCACGAGCCTCTCCAGCCGCGTTCGCGCGGTGAAAACGAAGTCGTCGTCCACCCATAGCACGTACTTGGTGGTCACTTGGGACACCGCCAGGTTCCGGCCTGCGAACCAGCCCTGGGGGAGGGGTGTATGTGGTAGAAGGAGGCTGTAGAGATAAGGCATGCCTCTCCCCTTTCTTCCTCCTCTTCTGACCCTCTTGACAGCCTGTGCCCCTCTCCAAACTTTTAAGTGCTTTGGAATGACCGAGCGCAAGGTTGGGGGGGGGGGAAGCACTCCCAGGGTTTGTGAGTCAGTGTTCTGGGAAAAGGTCCTATGCATTCATACATGCGTTCACTGATTCATGAACTATTTCTTGAGCGCCCATTAGGTGCTAGGCGTTAATCTAAGAATGCGGTAGTGAACAAGATAGACAGGAGTCTTGCTCCCAGGGATCTTACACTCCGTGAGTCCGCATGCCTAGCAGGCACCCAGAGATTAGGAGGCAAGTGGAGGCTGCAGACTGAGAGCATCACCCCCACACACCCCTGCCCTCTGCTGCAGCCCAACCTGGCTGGGTTCACACCTTGCCGAAAGGCATGAGATAGTGCTCCACGTGTGGGCCGCTGATGCGCTCAGGCTTCTCGCTGTCGTCAGCGATGACCACGGTGACCGTTGGATAGAAGCGGCGGATGCTGGAGATGAGTGCCCTTAGTCGGTCATAACGAAGGAAGGTCTTGGTGGCAATGGTGACCAGAGCACTGATGTTGTACTGGGCTAAGAGTGAGGGTGCAGCATTGCGGGCAGAGAGGGTCAGGAGTGAGGAACATGAAGATATCATCTCCTAGGACTGTCCGCTCCCAACTTACCTCCCCTTCCCCTTCCAGCCAGGGCCAAATCTAGGTCCCTGCCCTCACCAACCTCACCTCCTTGGGGTACAGCCCCAGGTGGGTACAGCCTAGGGTTGGGAGGGTGTCTGATGCGGATGGTGAAGACAACCTCGTGTCCCTCAGTGGAGAACCGGACTGTGGAGAAAGAACACAGTGAGGGAAAAGGACATGGGAAGTGCTCTTAAGTCTGGGGCAGCACTCTCAAGTCAGTCAACCAATATGTAAGTGGGTCCTCTGTGTTCCACCTTTCTAGGTCTTGGTGGACAAGAACACAAGGTCCTCAGCTCCACGGAGCTTACATTCTAATTGGTGGGAGAAAGACAACAAAAAAGATTTAATGAAAAGCCAACCTTTATTGAGTATTTACTACATGCCAGGAACTTTTAAATGTATATCTTAAACGCATTCACTCATTTAATCCTCACACTAGCACCGTTAAGTAGATTCCTGGTACAGAAAAAGAAACTGAGGCACAGGGAAGTTAAGTAACTTGTTCACATTTACACAGCTATGAAGGAAGAAAGCTGGGATAGAAACCCAGCCTGTCTGGTTCCAGGCTAAGTAAACAAGAAAATTCAGATACTGGGAACTACTGAATAGAAAGTAAGACAAGTAATGTGATAATGAAGAGGAGACATTTGAGCTGAGATCTAAATGACAAGGAGCCAGTCATACAAAAATCTGGGGGAAGAGCATGTCAGGCAGAGGTGACAGCTAGTGCAAAGGCCCCGTGGTGGGAGCAGGCTTCGTGTAGCAAGCCTTGGAGAGAAGCAGGAGGGCTGTGTCATGCCCCTTTTGCTAGAGGAAAAATGGAGCTCAGGGGGGTAAAACCCTTGCCCTCTAGAAAGTGGCAGGCTGGGAATAGAACTTGACTCTCTTGGTTGTTGGGCTAGGGCACTTCCTGGGGCCCCCATGGTTGGCCTGGAGGGGGGACACACCCAAGGCTCCAGTTTCCCCCTGGCCTTCTCTGGCCCCACATGAACAAAGGCCCCTTCTCTCCTGCCCTGGCCCTGCTGGCCTAGCTGAAACACCCATTGTGTGGCTGGGCAGCTCTGGCCATTGCCCGAGTGCCTCCCACGCCCTCTGCCACTTGCCTGTCTCAGCCTTTCTGGGTTCTCTCTGCCACCTAGGGTGCTCCTACATCCACCCCAGCCTCACACCTGTGTCTGCTGTGTCGGTCTGGTAGCTTCGGCTGCTATAAGTAACCAGCTGCAGCTGCCTATTGAGCTGGTCCAGCTCTGGGCTGGCGAGCGTGAGATCCGGCTGCCCCTCTCCAGTGAGAGTGACTCCTGTCACTTCCCCTGCCACATCCCAGATGCCCAGGGAGGCAGTCAGGTTCACCTGGGAGAGGCGGTTGGAGAATGCATGGTTAGTCCCCAAACCCGCCTCTTGCCTCCCTGGTCCTTTCATTCCTCCCTTAGCCCTATCTCTTTTCCCAGCATCCTCACTGCCTACCTGGCCTCCCCAACCTCCCTAGTATATTTCCTCTCACCTGGTATAGCTCCTGACCAGAAACTGCCTGCAGGCTTAGCCCTGGGAGGAAAGATGGGAAGGTAGAATCACAGAGAGCCCATAGTTCTTCCTCACTTTCTCTCCCCTCTTTCAGCACACACACACTTGACTTTTCACCATTCCTCCTGTTGAGGCCTTATTTGAGACCTCATTGTTGAGGCCTATATTGACTAACATAGCCTAGAACCAAAAAAACAAAACTCACTGCCATGGAGTCAGATCCGACTCATAGTGACCCCTCCTTGGGTTTCCGAGGTGGTACCACTACAGAAGTAGATTGCCCAGTCTTCCTTCCGAGGAGAGGAGTGACTAGTAGGTTTGAACCATCAGCCTTCTGGTTAGCAGTCAAATGCCTTAGGCACTACACGCCAGAGCTCCTAACATAGCCTAGAGTGGCTGTTTTTTGACTCTTTCCTATCAAAGCAGTATCTTTTCAACGGTCTGGCCTAACCACACACCCACCTAACTTTTGGTTAGGCAACAAAGAATAGATTATTCTCCTCAAACCTCCTCAGTTACTAAAACCAAACCAAACCTGTTGTCGTGGAGTCAATTCCAACTCATGGCGATCCCATGTGTTAGAGAGTAGTAAGACTGCTCCATAGTTTTCTTTACAGAAGGAGCTTTTGGTGGTGCAGTGGTTAAGTGCTCAGCTGCTAAGTGAAAAGTCAGTGGCAGTCTGCTTCCATGAAAATCACAGCCTTGGAAACCCTATGGAACCATTCTACTGTCTCATAGGGTCACTGTGAGTCAGAACTGACCAGACAGTAATGAGTTTTTTTTTTTTTTTTTAATTAAATCTTTATGGGAACAAATTTCCAGGCCTTTCTTCTACAGTACAGCTGGGAAAGTTTGAACTGCCAACCTTCAGGTTAGTAGTCAAGTACACATCTGCCCCAATTCCTGGGAATCCTAGCATCCCTCTGTCTCCATCTCCCACCTCATGAGCTCCTTTCTGACCTCCACGTCCCCTCTCATCAAGAGTCCTACCTCCCATTCCAACCTTCTTCATTCTTCCCCACCCAACCTCAGGCCCTGTCACCCCCACCAGGGCACAGGTCATCCTCTAGACCTTCCTCCCCACCTGGCACCAAGATGCTCCTGAGGGGCTGAACCTCCACACCCTGCACAGGGTACTGTAGGGGGGAATTGGCAGGGGCTATGAGCAGCTGGTCAGCAGGGGACTGGCTCCTGGCAGTGGAAGGGGGGAAGAGAGAAGGGAGTCAGAGGGAAACAGGCTCTCCTGGTACACCCGCCCTCCAGGCCTCCCACTGCTCTCCCCCTCAGAGTCACCCCTTTCTTTATTGCTGGCACCTTGAAAGGAAGGCCTGGAACTCCTGCTCCCTTGTGGCAGAGGCAGCCTTCAGCTCCTGAGGGTCAAAGGCCTTGGTAAGGTCAATGGCTCGGACCTGCCTCTGGAAGGGGAGGGAAAGGCCCCCTCCACTGGACTCACAACTGCAGTTGTTCTGAGCCAGTAGCCTGGAGAGAGAAGGACGAGGCATCAGAGGCCCCCCCCCCCACCCGGCCACACAGCTCCATCCATCCCACCAACGGTTCACATAGCATCCCACACTTGACCCCACCCATTGCCCATCCAATATTTGTCCCCTCAAACACTGCTCCTGGAATCATTCTCAACATAGGATGCTGTGTCCCCCAAGTCTGGATTTTACAGAGGCATAGAGTAAGGCTAAGTACCAGGATTTCAGGAGCTGCCCATCCACCATGCAGGGCCCCATCTGAAATCTCCCTTCTTGACTGACTCCCACCAGGGACTTTTGCAGGCTCCTGCCCTGACTGAACATCCTCTCATCCCTGTGATAAGGTTCTGAGAGGACAGAACCCTGCCCCCACCCCAGCCTGACCCTCAGCAGCCCTCTCCCACTCCCATTCACACACGCCCAATGAGTATGGAGAACCGAGGGGTCAGAGCCCAGTACCAGAAGAAACAAAAGCCCCCACACCGCCCCCCAGCTGCTACAGGAAGCTTCCCACACTCACCCCACCACTTGCTCCTTGATCTTGACCGGGATATGTGCGTAGCGGGGCTCTGGGGCAAGGTCTAGCAGCTGGGGCCTGGGGGGGCCCTGCAAGGGCGCCCAGTGTGCAGGGGGAGCCCGGAGGCCCGGCGCGTTCCGGGTGCTCGCGTACAGGAGCCCTAGCGAGGCGCAGGCGAGCAGCAGGACCAGCGCGCAGAGGGCCCTGCGGCCCAGCCGCATCCTGGAGATGGGGAAATGTGAGAGAGACGGCGTGGGCCGGGACCCTTGACCCTGGCGGCTCTGGAGGCTCCCGCTGGCTCCCCACGGCGCTTTCCACACCCCGCGCCCTAGGATGTGCACAGCGACTCTCTAGCCCCCACCCGACCTCGCGTCTCCTCCTCCTCTCACTCCCCTTCCGCAGGGGCTTTCGGCCTCCTTTTTTCTTTCCCTCTTTCGCATCTCGGTTTGCCCTCATATCCGAGGCCCGGCATCTTGATGCTAGAGACATTTGGATGCGGCCGTTTCGAGGTGGCCGCTTATAGGTGGGAAAGCATCGTTTAATGAGAGCTGCTGCGGTCCCTGAGCCTGTCGCCCACTTGGGCTAGCGCTCTCCCCACCCCCCACCGCCGCCTCCGCCCTGTCCCCAGCCGGAGCATCATCTGGGCCGGAGCGGGCTGCAGAGGGCGGCTCCACACTTTGCTTGTCATAAAAATGCAGAATCACGCCAGCGCTGTGAGGTGTCTCCGTGGAGGTGACCCCGCGGGTGGCTTCGGGAAGCAGTGGAGGAAGGGACAGCGGGGACCGGAGCGCACGGCTCTTCCCGCCTCCATCTCGGCCCTCCTCCCGCGCCGGCACTGACCTGTCTACCGCTCTACCGCGAAAGCACGCTTGCAGTCCGGGCTGCGCCGGGCCCCCAGCGCCGGCCTGGGGGTCCTCATGGGGCCGGGGCGATCTGTCGAGTGAGGCGGCGTGAGCCCGAGTGTGAGGGCTCCTCCTGCCTGCGGAGCGCGCTCAAGCCCTCCCGCCCGCGGGCTCTCGGGCTTTGTGGACCGCGACGCGGGGTGACTCTGGGCGTTTCCTGCGTGGAGAAACAGCCGCGTTTCAGCCCTTTAAACAAAGCCGGGGCTCCTGGCGCCCTGCCCCTCTTGCCAGACGCGGAGGGCCCAGGCCGCCGCCCGGCTCTCAGTTTCCCGGCGCCTAGCGGCTCGAATCCCCGGCTAGATGCGGTGGAGGCTCTGGCTCCACGCTGGGAATGTGAGCGCCGGGGCGCCTTCTGTTGGGCAGAAAAGGAAATTGCAGGGTCTCGGAGAAGGAGCTCAGGGGAGATTTGTCCCCCATCCTTCAGCTCTTCTTCCCTAAACCCTGGCATCTCAACCATCTGTCCTCAATCCCAGCGGTCCCATTCCCCACTCACTCCGAAAAAATAGGTAATAAGTGCTTTGGGAGGGAGTGGGACGAGAACGCCCTAACACCCTAGTTCACGGAAGGCCTGACTTATAAAGGTAAAATAAAGGAAGCAAGTCTGTATCTTGGAAAATAAAGTCTCCGTCTAGTTAACAAAGACAGATTCAACGCTTCCTCTCTGATTATCTGACATACACCTCAGTGAATAAAGGGCCTATTGCGGTTTGGAGGCCTGGTGGAACAGTGGTTAAAGGGCTTGGTCACTAACCAAAAGGTCAGTGGTTCAAATCCACCAGCCATAACACCTGAGAAAGATGTGACAGTTTGCTTTCTACTCTGTCCTCTAGGGTCACTGTGGGTCAGAGTTGACTGGACAGCAGTGAGTGTTTGGAATTGTTGTGGTTAGCTGTCATTGAGTCCACCTTAGAATGTAAAAGTAGGAAAAAAAGAAGGATTAGGAGTTGGAAAATATTGCCTTGAGGATAAAGAGGATGTCACTGCTCATGTAACAGAATTTTGCAAGAACAATGACTTATGTGAGGGCTGAACCAAAGAAAAATGGATGCTTTTGAATTATGGTGTTAGTGAAGAATATTGACTATGTCATGGGAGCTCTGGTGGTATAGTGCCTAAGGCATTTGACTGCTAACCAGAAGGCTGGTGGTTCAAACCCACCAGCCACTCCTTGGAAGGAAGATCAGGCAATCTACTTCCATAGAGATACCACCTTGGAAACCCAAGGAGGGGTCGCTATGAGTTGAGTTGAATCAACTCGATGGCAGTGAGGTTTTTTTTTTTTTTTTTTTTTATGGACTGCCAGAAGACCTAATAAATCTGTGTTGCAAGAAGTATGGCCAGAACACTCCTTAGAAGCAAAAATGCCAAGACTTCTTTTCATGTACTTTGGGCATGTTACCAGGGGGGACCACCCTCTGGAGAAGGACTTCATGCTTGGTAAAGTAGAGTGTCAGCAAAAAAGGAAAAGTCTTCAATGAGATAGATTGACACAGTGGCTGCAACAATGACCTCAAGCATAGCATCAATTGTGAGGACAGTGCAGGACCAGACAGCGTTTTATTCTGTTGCACACAGGGTTGCTATGAGTCAGAAGTGACTCAGCAGCACCTAACAACAACAACAACGTGCAGTGTTTGAGCTGTGACTCTGAAGCTTTGAGCTGATCCTTTTCCAACACTTTGTCCAGCTTACTTGTACTTCTCATTCTGACAAAATTGTAGAAAAGTGTCAAATATACAACCACACAGAGCCTGGTGTCTCACAAATATCTGATCCATTGGTGGTGATGTATTGTGTATTTCTATTGCCATTTCACACCAAGGATTAGCAGTACTGTCTTTACTACTGGAGGCAGACTCATCAGGGCCTTTAAGACTAGCCATACTTGAGAAACAATTCAGGATACTTATCCTTACAGTTTTGCTCCTTTAGAACCACACTTAGTACCCAATGTCTTAGGTTGGGTTCTCTAGAGGAGCAAAACCAGAGAAGGACTTTATGCTTGGTAATGTAGAAATAGCTCACACAGTTATCGAGGCTGGCAAGTCCCAGATCCATGGGACTGGATGATGCAAATTGCCTTCATTCACAGTAATGGGAGGTGAGAGTTGGCTATTGACTGAACCTCTCTCTTCATATGATCTTTCATCATCAGAGAGGCTAGGCTGGGTTTCATTACCTGTTGACCTCAGGGCAGTAAGTGGGTGAGAGTAAAAGCTGCAAGACCACTAGAGACCTTGCTTGTAATTCACAATATTCTTTCTCTGTGAATATGTATGTATATAAGGGTGTGCATCAGGGTTGTAACTTATACCATACTTATTTCAATCTGTATGCTGAGCAAATAATCTGAGAAGCTAGACTATATAAAGAAGAATGTGACATCAGGATTGGAGGAAGTCTCCTTAAGAACCTGTGATATGCAGTTGACACACCCTTGTTTGCTGAAAGTGAAGAAGACTTGAAGCACTTACTGATGCAGATCAAACGCTACAGCCTTCAGTATGGATTACACTTCAACACAAAGAAAACAAAAATCCTCACCACTGGACCAATAAACAACACTGTGATAAACGGAGAAGGTATTGAAGTTATCAGGGGGTTTGTTTTACTTGGATCCACAATCAAAGCTCATGGAAACAGCAGTCAAGAAATCAAACAATGGGAAAATCTGAGGCAAAAGACCTCTTCAAAGTGTTCAAAGATGCCACTTGAGAACTAAGGTGCCTGACTGAAGCTGTGGTATTTTCAGTTGCCTCATATGTATGTGAAAGTTGAACAATGAATAAGGAAGATCTAAGAAGAATTGATGCCTTTGAATTACGGTGTTGGTGAAGGATATCGACTATACCATGGAGTGCCAGAAGAAGGAACAAATCTGTCTTGTACAGCCAGAATGCTCCTTGAAAGTGAGAATGACAAGACTTCATCTCATCTACTTTGGACATGTTATCAGGAGGGATCAGTCCCTGAAGAAGGACATCATGCTTGGTAAAGCAGAGGGTCAGCAAAAAAGAATATCCTCAATGAGATGTATTGACACAGTGGTGGTGATAATGGGCTCAAGCACTGCAAATATGTGAGGATGGTGCAGGCTCAGGCTGTGTTTTGTTCTGCTGCACATAGGGTCACTACCAGTCGGAACTGACTCAACAGCACCTAACAGCAGCAACATATAAATGTACCAAAACAAAACCCAAACTCACTGCCATTGCGACCCCTCCTTGGGTTTCCAAGGTGATATCACCAGGGGGTAGATTGCCCAACCTTCCTTCCAGGGAGTGGGTGGTGAGTTTGAACCACCAGCCTTCTGGTTAGCAGTCAGATGCCTTAGGCACTACAGCACCAGAGCTCCCATATAAATGTACATATGTATTTATATGTCAAAGTAAATGATAAGGCTAGGCTATTTCAAGGAATGGCCAAATAAACTCCACTTTTTGTTGGATATAGCTGTAAAGAATTTGTGACCACTTAAATTCATCACTATTACCAATGACCAACTCTAAGTACAGGAGCATTTGTTTAGTTAAATACTTTTAGAGAGGAAGGATATTATAATAACTTGGTGCCAACATCACAAGGCATTAAAAAAAAACACAAAACTGCCATGAGTTAATTCCAATTTATAGCGACCTGTAGGATAGAGCAGAACTGCCCTATAGGGCTTTCAAGGCTATAAATATTTACAGAAGTAGACTGCTTCATCTTTCTTCCACAGAGTGGCTGTGGGTTCAAGCCGTCAACGTTTTAGTTAGCAGCTGAATGCTTTAACCATTATGCCGCCAGAGCTCCTTCACAAGGCTTAGCTAGACTAAAATGTCTTGCTCCTCTGTATCAATATAAACTCATGAGAGCTAGAAACAAACCCAGTGAGAATGAACAGCCATGCACCCAGATCTTGGTTTCTAATACCATTTCCAAGCACCAAATAGAAATATATAGTATATGCATGTGTGTGCATATATACATACATACACACAGACACACATGTATGTGAGTCCTTGGATGATACAAATGGGTTACCATACTCAGCTGCTAATGGAAAGATTGGAGGTTCAAGTCCACCCAAAAGAAGCACCTTGAAAGAAAGGCCTGGCGATCTATTTCTGAAAAACCAGCCATTGAATACTTTATGCTGCACAGTTCCAATCTGACACACGTGGAGTTATTATGAGTCGGAATCCACTTAATGGTAACTTTTATATAAACCAAACCAAACTCACTGCCGTTGAGTCAGATCCTACTTATAACGACCCCTCCTTGGATTTCCAAGGCTGTATCACTACGGAAGTAGATTGCCTGATCTTCCTTCTGAG